CCACCACGCCTTCCACCACGCTTCCACCACCACTACGCCCGGCCCAACCCATGGAGCCTCTGTTCTTCAGACACCCCCACCCCACAATTTCTCGCCCAAAACCGACCGACGCCCTCCACCATGACCCCCACCACGCTTCCACCACGCTTCCTCCACGCCTCGACCACGCTCCCACCCCGTCCCGGCACCCTCAACCCACCCGGCACCGACATCCACATCCCCTGGGAGCTTCTGTTCTTCAGACCCCCCACCCCACCATTTCTCGCCCAAAAACGACCTACGCCCCCCTCCATGCCCCCCTCCATGCCCCCCACCTGGCGCCGACACCCCCACCCCTGGGAGTCTCTGTTCTTGGGGCACCCCACCCCACTATTTCTCGCCCGCTCAAAAACGACCTACGCCCCCCTCCATGCCCCCCTCCATGTCCCCCACCTCGCCCCGACATCCCCAGCCCTCCCTCCATGCCTCCCCACCTGGCTCCGACACCCCCACCCCTGAGAGCCTCTGTTCTTGGGACCCCCCACCCCACGTATTCTCGCCCAAAAACCACCTACGCCCCCCTCCATGCCCCCATCCCTGCCCCCCACCTGGCCCCGACACCCTCACTCTTGGGAATCTCTGTTCTTGGGGTCCACCACCCCACCATTTCTCACCCAAAAACGACCTACGCCCCCCTCCATCCCCCCCTCAATGCCCCCACCTGGCCCCGACATCCCCACCCCCTGGGAACCTCTGTTCTTGGGACCTCCCACCCCAGCATTTCTCGCCCCAACACGACCTATGCCCACCCTCCATGCTCCCCACCTGGCCCCGACACCCCCCCCCCTAGGAGTCTCTGTTCTTGGGACCCCCCACACCACCATTTCTCGCCCCAAAACGACATACGCCCCCCTCCATGCTCCCCTCCATGCCACCCGCCTGGCCCCGACATCCCCAACTCCTGGAAGCCTCTGTTGTTGGGACCCCCCGCCCCAGCATTTCTCGCCCAAAAGCGACCTACGCCCCCCTCCATGCTCCCCTTCAATGCCCCCATACCTGGCCCCGACACTCCCACCCCCGGGAGTCTCTGTTCTTGGGAACCCCTACCCCGCCATGTCTCGCCCAGAAACGACCTACGCCCCCCTCCATGCTCTCTTCCATGCCACCCATCTGGCACCGACATCCCCAACCCCTGGAAGCCTCTGTTCTTCGTCCCCCCCCCACCCCACCATCTCTCGGCTACAAGCGCCCTGCGCCCCTCTCCATGCCCCCCCCACCTGGCACCGACACTCCCAGCCCTGGGAGTCTCTGATCTTGGGACCCCCCACACCGCAATTTCTCGCTCAACAACGACCTGCGCCCCCCTCCATGCCCCCCCACCTGGCCCCGACACCCCCACCCCTAGGAGTCTCTGTTCTTGGGCCCCCCCCCAGCATTTCTCGCCCAACAGCGACCTACGCCCCCCTCCATGCCCACCACCTGGCCCCGGCACTTCCACCCGTAGGAGGAGTCTCTGTTCTTGGAACTCTCCACCCCGCCATTTCTCGCCCACAATCGACCTGCGCTCTCTCGATGCCCCCCTCCATGCCCTCCACCATGGCCCCCACCTGGCCCCGACACTCCTACCCCTGGGAGTCTCTGATCTTGGGACCCCCCACCCCACAATTTCTCGCTCAAAAACGACCTACGGACCTACGCCCCCCCCCATGCCCCCCACCCCCACCTGCCCCGACAACCCCCACCCCTAGGAGTATCGTTATTGGGACCCCCACACCACCATTTCTCGCTACAAACGCCTTACGCCCCCCTCCCATGCCCCCTCCATGCCCCCCCCCCCCCCCCCACCTGGGGACCCCCCCACCCGCACCCCGCAAGTTCTCGCTCAACAACGACTAAGCCCCCCATCCATGCCCCCCACCTGCCCCGTAACACCCCCAAGGGAAGCCAGGAGCTCTGTTCTTGGACCCCCACCCCAGCATCTCGCCCCAAAAAACGCGACCTACGCCCCCATCCATTGCTCCCCTCCATGCCCCCCCCTAGGCCCAGAACATCCCCAACCCCAAGGAGCCCCCTGTTCTTGAAACCCCCACCCACAATTCTCAGCCGTTTCGCCTCAAAAAAACGACGTACGCCCCCCTCCATGCCCCCCAACTGGCCCCGACACTTCCACCCCTGGGAGCCTCTGTTCTTGGAACCCCCACCCCACCATTCGGACCCCCCACCCCACCATTTCTCGTTCCAAAACGACCTACGCTCCCCATCCATGCCCCCCTTCCATGCCCCCCGCCTGGCCCCGACATCCCCTAACCCCTGGAAGCCTCTGTTCTAGGGACCCCCCACCCCCGCATTTCTCGCCCAACAACTATCTACCCCCCCCTCCATGCCCCCCACCTGGCCCCGACACCCCCACTCTTGGGAATCTCTGTTCTTGGGATCCACCACCCCACCATTTCTCGCACAAAAAAAAAACCTACGCCCTCCTCCATCCCCCCTCAATGCCCCCCCCCCACCACCACCACCACCTGGCCCCGACATCCCCAACCCCTGGGAACCTCTGTCCTTGGGACCTCCCACCCCACCAGTTCTCGCACAAAAACAACACGCCCACCCTCCATGCCCCCCATCCATGCCACCAACCTGGCCCCGACACCCCCACCCCTAGGAGTCTCTGTTTTTGGAACCCCCCACCCCATCTTTTCTCTCCCCAAAACCGACCGACGCTCCCTCCTTGCTGCCCTCCATGCCACCCGCCTGGCCCCGACATCCCCAACCCCTGGAAGCCTCTGTTCTTGGGACCCCCCACCCCACCATTTCTCGCCCAAAAACGATCTACGCCGCCCTCAATGCCCCCTCCTCCATGCCCCCTACTGCGGCCCCAGGCACCCCCACCCCCGGGAGTCTTTGTCCTGGGACCCCTACCCCACCATTACTCGCCCCAGAAACGACCTACGCCCCCCTCCCTGCTCTCTTCCATGCCCCCCACCTGGCCCCGACATCCCAAACCCCTGGGAGCCTCTGTTCTTGGTCCCCCTCCACCCCACCACTTCTCGGCTACAAACGCCTTGCGCCCCCCTCCGTGCCCCCCTCCATGCCCCCCACCTGGCCCCGACACTCCCAGCCCTGGGAGCCTCTGATCTTGGGACCCCCCACCCCGCAATTTCTCCTTCAAAAACGACCTACGCCCCCCTCCATGCCCCCCACCCTACGCCTTCATCCATGCCCTTCTCCATGCGCCCCACCTGGCCCCGACACCCCCACCCCTGGCAGTCTCTGTTCTTGGGACCCCCCACTTCACCATTTCTCGCCAACAAGCGACCTACGCCCCCCTCCATGCCCCCCTCCATGCCCCTCCCACCTGGCACCGACATCCCCAACCCCTGGGAGCCTCAGCCCCCTTCCATGCCCCCCACCTGGCCCCGACATCCCCACCCCTGGGAGCCTCTGTTCTTGGTCCCCCCCATCCCACCATTTCTCACCCAAAACGACTTCCGGCCCCCTCCATGCCCCCC